GATAACCAATTTACATCCAAATATTTCAATTTACAACCATAACAAAGAAGTTGCTACATAAACATGCACAGTCTGAGGAACATCAAAATAAATACTGCACCCTGAAGACATTTTTCTCTCTCTGAAAGCTGCTGGGCAATATGAGGAGGAGTTTTTTCTTCCTTTTTAAAGCCATCATGCTTAAAGTGTCAGTCATCTTGATTAGGCTGGTTAAAAAGTAAGTGAAAGTTATCAGATAATAATGCTGCAATAAGACATTTTAAGAACAATAAACTGTAACTGGTTATGTTATCTCCTGATAAGATCTAAGCTTATGCTGTACCTGAGAGTTGTCATTTCATTGTTCTCATCATGTCAGACCAAAACTGACAGGTGATTAGATCTGAGCTTAAGCCAAAATGACATTTTAACTGAGTCAGTGACACAAACATATGTACCTTAAATCAAATCAACTCTTCAAGATATTCAAACTGAAAACAGTCCATCTGTGATAAAAAAAAAACTCACTTGATTTCGGACATACAGATGGTTAAGACCATATAATCAAGTTAAAAAATCTAACAGGTGACCTACTTTAATATCTTTGTTTCAGTGCTTTAGAAAAAAAATGAGCTAAATAAAAATTTTATTTTTTTAACGTAATGATTATCTTGGTAAGGACCATAGATACAAGCCTGCAAGCTGAAAGGTAATTAGGAAATTACCTAATAACAAAGTTGGAGACAAACCCTTCTTCCTATTATGAGACTAATTTCTGTTGGACTTTCTTTACAAGGAAACCAACAACTCTCCATACACGTATGTATATTTTGTACTAACTACATAGTTAAATTTGGAATATATCTGATTATATGATTAACTTAAAGAAGGTGTATATATATATATATATATATATATATATATATATATGCATAAGAACCATTTAAAAATACATAATTTTTATCAGAGATTTGGCAATTTTTAATGAAATATTAGGTACATGTATGTTTGTTCTTTATTACAAGCCCAAAAAGTGAATTTTATCTACAAGGGCAAAATTCATCTTTCTTTCACATGTGTTGAAATAATGATTCCAGGGCTCTGCATTTACAGCTTGTTATTAGAGTTCTTCTCACCTTCTAAGTCAAACAACATAGATCTTAGTTGATGAATTACTAAAGACAATTGAAGAAATAAGCATATGTTGAATACTCCTTCCCACAGACCGATTCAGTTAACAATGGCTATGAAAAAACCTAGGCTGTGCACTGTAGTAAAAATCAAATTAAAACATATTAGTTAAACAATCAAATGTCTATTATAGTGTGCAACATTGTATATTCAGCAACGAAATTCCAAACATTTCAGATAGAGAGGACTTGCCTAAGTAATTATAACTTAAAATCAATAATAGACATACAGAATTGTCATTCACCAAATTTACAGGCAAATCTCAGCATCAGTGTGCAGAAAATGTTTATTTCTACTGCAACTGTGTGTATATTTACTGAATATCTGTCCAGGTAATTCAAGTGATTTTGTTAATACACTGAAGAGTGTAGACACATTTCTTCACATTTTTGATTTTGTCATTATGAAATTGGTGGGCACTACTCTGAGTAGTACATTATACTTACTAGTAGTAGTAACTCTACCTGCTGTGTAAGGTTACAAATTGACATCAACAAGTAAAACGTACGTTAGACTTACTTGCCAACTGGTAGATGATTTTTCCCTTTTTTCTACTTTGTTCTTTTGAAGTAGACCAAAAAATCGCCGATATATCAGCCTTCCTCAGTCCCTCCACTTTTAGTGATTTCCTCCTACATGCTGTGTTTTTCAGAAGTAAATGGCTCTTAAAAGTAAACAAACATCTTACTCCATGTTTCTTATCATCTGTTACATACTTCTACTTATCAAATCTTATATAAATCGAGCATAATGTATTGATAAATCGATAGAGACAGACTGTACACGCCGAAGTCTCTCAGATTTGCCTGCGCTTTGTGCGCATGTGCAGAACGGATGGTTCACGCTCCGAGCCCTACACGCCACACCGGGGTCTCCATGGCCTGTGTTATCTCCACAGCCCTTCAGAAAGACAGTTTTTGCTCCTACAAAAATCTCATTTTATGTGGCCTCCAAACTCAGGCCACGTAAAGTTTTCTCTCAATGCTTCCGACATGTTTTCTCTAAATTTTTAGTGTTTGGCAAGTTTTTGTATCTCAGCGGTGTATTCCCTGACAGTCACTCTCTGGTCCCTCTTGAAGAACCGGAACCTTTCAGAGATCACAACCAGTTTTGGATTCAAATAGTCCCTTAACTTTGCAGTAAACATGTCATATGTTTACTCCGACGCCTTTGCAGGGGTCACCGATTCACGGCACAACTGGTACATGTACGTCGTAGCACTGATGATGCTAAGCAATGCTGCTACTTTCTTCTCATCACCTAAGTGTATTTACAATAAATATGCCCACACTGTTTCATCCATTTGTTGGAACTGACTTTATTGACCTTATTACGTGTTATATAACAGTGTTAAGCACCACACAATCTAGTTCTTTAGGTGTACTGTAAGTACATAAATAACAGTCATGAAGCAGGAAACCTCTGTCTGCTAGGATCTGATCATAAGGCATGTGGTATTTACTCTCCATAAAAGCAGAATTACACACAATCATTACATGCTCTACCACCCCAAATTTTAGAGAAAAAAAGTCGATATGGCCATGGTGGTTACAGGAAATAAAAAATATAATTTTGTAGCTGCCATAAGTTTGTGCACAGGCTGTGATTCTATGAATATTTTGCAACAATCCACAATTGAAGTTGATTAGGGGAATTAATCCGAAAATACCTCTGGTAATGTTCTAAATACACTTTCTCTGCCTGGTGGTACAATTGTGAAACTTCGTTTGGAATATGGTGTGTCAATCCATTTCCAAAAAATGTCAATCAGGGTGGTTTTGGGTTACCCCTTGATGTGTGCCAAAAATTCAAATGTGAGGTTATAACTTATTTCAGTAACATCATCAATAACTGTTCCTTCAAGGGTAGACTACATTGCTTCACCAGTAGGAAGAATGTACTCATTGCTATTGCAAGACACTACTCTCTTGGTGTTCAAATTTCTAATAGCTGCACTACAGTTTAAACATAAAAAAACATTTTCCTGGGTGTAAGATCAATTGAATACAAATTGTAATGTTTGAGCAGCTGTAGGTCCTTTCTTGAAACTGAGGTTAAGCCCTACTCTTCTGTAACCCTTTTCCTTGGAGTCAAAAATGTTATTGCAGCAGATACTGACTTCACTTTGGTTCTTTTGAATTGACATTTTTCAGATCTGAGTAATAGTAATTTTGAGTTCTTACATAATAATCCTTTGAATTGACATATTTTTCAGATCTGAGTGATAGTAATTTTGAGTTTTTACATAATAATCCTTAGAACTGACATATTTCTGATCTGAGTGATAGTAATTTTCAGCTTCACATAATAAAAATTCTACTTCGGCGACTTTGTTTTCATGAATCAGTTAATTTGTCAGAAACCTAGAGAACAGGTGACTTGCCTCGTGTTCCATGTGCTATGATAAAACCAGCCTAATCTAGACACCTGAGCACACTGGGATTGCGTTAGAGATCACGTGACCATAAGTTCTGCTCGCGCGCAGTAGGTTACTGGCGGTTGAAAACCTTGCGTCATGACCTGAGTAGCTGCCATAAGTTTGTGCACAGGCTGTGACTCTGAATATTTTGCAACAATCCACAATTGAAGTTGATTAGGGGAATTAATCTTTAAATACTTTTGGTAATGTTCTAATTACACTTTCTCTGCCTGATGGTACAATTGTGAAACTTCATTTGGAATACAGTGTGTCAATCCATTTCCAAAAAATATCAATCAGGGTGGTCTTGGGTTACCCCTTGATGTGTGCCAAAAATTCAAATGTGAGGTTATAACTTATTTCAGTAACATCATCAATAACTGTTCCTTCAAAGGTAGACTACATTGCTTCACCAGTAGGAAGAATGCGTTCATTGCTATCACAGGACATGTAAACACACCAAAAAGTCCTGTTATCATTTAAATGGCAGCATTGCCCTCAACAGATGAGGCACAGTAGCATACTATTAAGTAATACTATTATGATGAATGAATATCACCAGTTAGTTTTCACAAGTAATATTGTCCACTGTATGTTTGAATTGAACATTCAAAGTTCACCATTTTAACATGTAAAGAAACCCAACAAACCGATTCCTCCCTTCCAAACTTCTCATTAAGTGTTACAAAGAACTTGATCTCACTTCCTTTGTATTTTCTCACATAACAGCCAGTGACACAGCAAGGTTTTTGGAATTTTTATGTGTTACCTACTCCACGTCTAATACATGAACTGAACAAGGTTGCTAAAGAGTTTGCCCCCACACCTGGGTGTCACTTGGGCTCCAACTGCAAGAATCCTGGGCACTGTTATCACTATCAGCCTCTTCTTCAGAGTCATCATCTGCACGTGTGGCTGGTCTGGGATGGTCTGCTTTGTCTCCTGCCTCCTGCCTTGCGGTTTGAAGAAACCAAATAAGCTTTCATTGGTCAGTGGTCGTAGTTTCTTCTTTGGAGGCATTATTATTCTAGTACCAAAAATGCTTGAACCATCACAGGTCCTTCTTTGCAGAACTTCGGAGGGTCGGGTGAATGTCATGGGCTATTACGTGCTATATCGTGAAGGCTAATTTTAGTAATCGTATATAGACACGCCTCGGTTTTGAGAAGGAAGACCGTTTTATCATAGTTGTAGTTAAATATAATTATTTTAACTTCAGATTTAGACTGCATTCCCACAGATTTAGATTGATCCATCTGGATCAACCTATCTCCCTGGGGGTTCATGCTAAATTGCTGTCAGCTCAAGAGGCTTAAATGCCTGTCACACCTACCGAATCGGCTAGGGTAAAGATAATTACCCCCTAACAGCTTTACTAGGCGTGACAGACATTTAAGCCGGTCAAGTTGACAGCAATTTAGTGAGACTCTCCAGGGGGATAGATCGATCTAAATATCTGTGGGAATGGTCTCTTAGTACATATATTTCTGGCTGTAAAAATGTTAACTAAATATCAAGCTGCTGTCTGTGATACCGAGTTTCCATTTCATTAAAAAAGATGTGGGTTTTTTATTTCCATGAATTTATCACACCATTTGTCAAATAAACATGCAAGATTGCTGTTTTAAATGCATACTTCCTGTGATTTCATGACCCAGAGTAATCCCTGACAATAGATTATTAACAACCTCTACATACACGAACGTTGTTTGATGAGAAAAAATTTTAGCTTGATTTTTTTTTAGATTAAAATTTATTATGTTACCCCTGTCTGCAGAGTCACAAAGTGATAAAAGAACAGCAGCAATATGGCTGCATCTTCTTAGGGCTGAAGACTTGCAATAGCAAGTGGCATCTAACACTGCTCCACTTATGATGGACAGAGCAATAGTCACAGTGTATGGATTTTCATTTCTCATAGAGGGCAAAACTTTGGCTTTGACATGAAACATATTGTCAGACACTTTATACCCCGTTCACACTGCATTTAACTGGTTAAGTAGCAAATTAGGTCGAGATTCGAATTATTGTGGTAGTCTGAACGCATGAGGATTTTGTAAACCAGTTTCTAAAAATCCTACTAGCAAGCTGGATTTTCTCCAGTGATTCGGTTACTTTACTGGAAGGGCCACCTGTTTAGATCGCACTGCGCATGCACCAGCAAATCTTGCGGGAAAGAAAAAGCAACATGCCAGGCCGGTGACCCATACTCTCCGACAAAACCTGGCTAGTCCCCGAAAACCTCTCAGTGATATCGATGATAGTGACTGCAAGTTACCCATAAATCACTGATGTATAGACATACATGAATACTTAAGAACATCTCTTTCTGATACATGTATTTTACAGACAGAAAAAATATCACTGAACCTACCTTTCGACCACTTCACTCCGGTTTCCACTGGATTTTAGGCTCCTGCAGGCAAGCCAACGTCTCAACTGAATGCTGGAATGTTCAGCTATTGTTTTATATAAAAATTTTGCTGCTACGACATCATCCTCTGTCAATTTAACAAGGAAACTGTTGTTGTCCCTTTCTTCACCATTGAAACTCAACGTGCAGATTGCTGTATTTGTCAGACTTCTGCATTCCACGGTGAACTCAATAATATGCATGAGCTTTTTCTTTTCTATCCGAATTGTATAACCCCCACCCCCGGAAAATTCTCCTCCCATGTGCCTCTATAAAAATGGTGCATTCATCTGAAACAGATTTAAACCAGTTAGTGTGCTATATTTTTATTGAACACATCTGCAAAATCCTTACACCTCTGCACAAAAATATTAAATTCAAGCATTATTTATAAAGAAACTACTGGTTATGATATAATTCAATAAATAAGCCCTTATTACTCAGAATGGCATCTGATGTGAGAGCATAAAAATGAGGACCATTTTGGCAATCACACTTTGATATGACAAAATTATTCATGGTATCATTTATTCAGTAAAGGATTTTAAACCAATTTTGGAAGAATCTGTAAACACCACATCTTCAAACTGCTCATGCACTGCTAATGCCTATCTACACCATGCCACACATTTTGGTTTATTGGTCATCCTTAATCACTTTCCACTTTTGATTCAGGACAGTTTCTTTCTCATCTTTTTTGACTGCTGCAACACTGACCTTGAGACCTAAAAAATTGGATATTTGCCCCCTGGTCTACCAATTCTGTTAGTGCAGCACCCACTTTTACTTGAAATAACCCTCTTTTTCCTCTATTATCAGAACGCGTATCATGTTTGCTAGTTTGCTGTCAAAAATTTTCCTGTTCTTTGAAGTACAACAGAATCCCATAGTTGTTAGTTGAAAATGTCACTTTATTGATAATTGTACTTTGATTAATACACAAAGTATGAATTAAAAATACATGTAGTGAAATATAATAATATGATAATTATGTATGGCAAGTAATTTACAAGTTTAAGATAAGATTTTAAGTTACAGCAAAGAGGGAAAAAGGATAAATTATATTATCATAAAAAAAAACTTTTCTAGATATATTTGGTTAACATAGCTTATCTCTTCTGCATGTAAGTCTTGCATGTACACTGTTTGAATTTTGAGTGCTTCATCATACTGAATATCAGGATATTCAATTTTGCATTCCCATTCCAGAACTGTTTTAATTTTCATATATGATAATTATAAAACACAAACTGAAATTTTTTCATACCATTAGCTTATTTTTGCTCTTTGTTTTAATTTTGTCTTTTTGTTATATTGTGAGACCCTGGTGCCAAACTTTGCAGGCACATTCCAATGGAGATATGACATGTAGAAGGGTATATGAGTTCTGTAGATAAAATCCCTGCTCTTTTCAATAAAGATATTGTAGTGTCTGTCTTGCTTTTTTAACATGTATAGGGCATTTGGAAACAAAATCTGAAATGTACCCACAAGTGAATTGGTTGTCTTGCAAATACATTTACCAAAAAACACTAAGCTCAAAATGAGTGTTAACTTTTTTAAAATTTTTTAATGTAAGGCTACATAGAAGACTATATGTTAAGCCCTGCAAATGCTGCTATAATTTCCTGAACGATTGGTGAAATGTATTTAGAATGTGTGCTATTTTCAACCAAACAGGTTATCGATTTTCGCTAATCTAAATCTCAGATGGAAGATTTTAAGGCTTAGTTTGTCAAAGTATTAGTGTGATACTTATTATCCGTTTCTACAATAATGTGGTGAGCAGTTATGTATCCTGTAATTCCATTCTGATGATAACATGTCAAGAGCAATGTTGACAATCATACATCTGTCAATGCCATATAAATAGATCCTGAAGTTTAGAGTGCATTCCCATAGATTTTTAGATCGATCTATCCCCGTGGGGAGTCTCACTAGATTGTTGTCAGCCTGACCGACTTAAATGTCTGCCCTGCCTACTAAAAGCTGTAAGGGGGTAATTAATTTTTGTGCGTGCTTGGCGCTCGGAACCTGACAGCAATTTAGCGTGAACCTCTAAGAAGTTAGGTCGATCCGGAAAGATTGATCTAAATCTATGGGAACCCAGTCTTATTTAGAGTGCTGCTACCGTTGACACCTCTATACAGCAAGCCTTGTACTGGTTGTATGTAAATGCAATATATAAGCAAAAATGAAACACCAAATAATAGAAAATAAAATAACCTGACATCAGCTTTGTTGTTGATTTTGTTTTATTTCCTTTTTAAATTTGTTCATGCTTTATGTGTGGTGAATGTAAGAATTAAAACTTCATTCTTTTTGGCAGACTTTGCATGCATACATGTGTTTGTACCAAAATTAAAAGGTAAAACAAGGACTTTCACATATGTGTTACACATATTTCATCTGTTATTACACAGTTAACAAATGTGGGGTTTGCTGATGGTGTTTGAAGTATTTTAGCTTGACATTCCTCTCCTTTTCTCATATTGTCCAAGCTTACTAAGTTGAGCCGTGAATCTAGTTTTGGCATCTTCAGATGATTGTTTTTGTTTATAACATTATGTGTACTTGTCTCCTTTTGTCCAAAATGGAAGAAAGCACAAAAATCTTGGCGAAAGTGTTTTCCCAATACACAATATATAATGAAGTTGCATGATGAGTTTACAATTAAAAAAAGATTACTGAAAACAGAATACCTTTGAGAATAACTTGCATTAGTTACAAACATTATTTGGAGCACAAGGTCAGGTCCAATACAGAGTATAAATGACAATATTACTGCAATGACAATAATGCTGATACTGCCATCCTCTCTATGTGATCTCATATTTAATGATAGTACCATGCATGTTCTGTTTCTTGAAGCTTGATGCACCTCTCGAATCAGCTGAATATTGCACACAATTAGTATAACAAGAGGCAGTATGTACATTGTTAAGAAATATAAACAGCATGCATACATAAATCTGTATGTTGTATTTGTGAAAAGACTGGCTTGATACCTCAAGTAATGAACCTCGCAGTGCAATGGTAACTTCAAAACTCGATATTCAAAGAATCTTGGGATGTTATAGAGGACTGCAAGAAGGAATATCACGACTGTCATCTTGCGAGCACGCTTGGCAGAACAATGGATTATGGCCTTTATGGGATGATGAACTGCTAAGTAGCGGTCAACAGTTATGTAAGTGACCATCCATGTACTGCAGGTCTGGCTGATGTACCACCATGGAAGAACATGAACCTGAACCAATGGAAAATTATTCCAATATGTGGTCATATACCCAGTATAAGGGTACACTGAACGCAGGCTATGGTAAAATATGCTCCCCAGGATGAAGAAAGAATCAAAGAAAGCCAGGCCCTGGAGTAAAACTGCAGTGGATGTTAACTTGCCATTGGTTTTTTGCAGTACTAAGAATGATACCAAGTTCCCAATCAACCCAAATAAACTGAGGCAGCCAACAAGCACTGTATCAATGTAAAAGTCGAGGGCAGGATTGGAAGATGTTAGGTTTATACAGCCTGCTTCTTCACTCCCATTGACAGCATGCACCCAAGACTCTGTGGTAATGTGTTCCTCTGTCACCAAAGACAAGTGTTGCATTTTTTCAATAGATTGTAGGTATTGTTATATTCAAAATGTCATTTTAACTGCTTCTTGCTTTTGAAGTACTAGTACTATCAGATTTTTGTTGGGCTGTAGAGAATCATCTAAGCAAGAATGCAAAAGCTGTATTTCATCTCTTCACAACATTTTGAGACTGGCTCCTACAATGACAAAACAGTTTTATGAGAAATTATTTTTATTGGTCCAATTTTAATTAATTTTAATACTTAAACTATTCAATATAAAAAGGTCCATTCTTTTGGCTTAAAATCATGATAGCATGCCTAAACCAACTAACAAGCTGGTACGTTTTGTCTTAACTTCAACAGCATGTACCTATGATGATCAATAGAAATCGTGAGAACTAAGAGCGATATGTATCAGAAAAACTTCCACTGAGTATAAATGAACAAAAGTTGTTCCTTGAAAAGAACTCAACAGTCCACTTACCTTAAAAATTGAAAGGCTGAAAATTTATTTGGTCTTCGCAGAAACACACTTTGGATAAAGGAGTAGTTGTATGCAACTGATGGTGGCAATTGTCAGTCTCTGATATATCTTTCTTCCAGTCTAATGGGTTGTTTTCCCCAGAATGTTCTCCAGACGTCAGGACTGGCAAGTGTTTTCCAAACAGATCAATACATTATCCACACAATTAGTTTCGAAATTGCAGATTGCTTGTTGAGTGAATACTTCAATTTCTTTGTCAAGTACTTCCCTGTTGAGACTTGTGAGTCAAGGTCTAATTTTTTTTGTCCATCATTCGTGAAATCTAGTATTGTCAGAAAAGCAAAGTATATTCAGAGGTTTTTTTTCAACATCTAATGTAATGGTATGCAGGGTTGGTGCATCCACAGTAAATTGTGCTCATTAAGCATTATACATGTATTTGTTGTGTAAGGAATTGCTAAGTCAGCTAGCTAAGTTTAACTGGCTTATAATTAGCCACCTCTACTGATATTGCATTATTTGGCTGTTATTCTTAAATAAACTTCACTAATCAGATGTTAGAATATTGAAATGTTTAGTGACATTGAATGGGGAAATGTTTTCATGAGTTAGCCTCATGAATTAATTTTCAGCAGTGGTTCATATGTGGTTTAAAACCTCAGATTTCAGTTTTGAAGTAAAAAGCAATTTACTTAGTATCAGTAGATTGTGATTGCTTTGTAAATCTTCAAATTGTAAATACTAAAAATAACACAGCAAAGGTTCATTCTGTTATTAAGAAAGCATATAGTTTTATTTTGTACTTTGTAATTAATTATATTATACAGTTATTAACTATCTACAGATACCATTCACTTTATGATAACAATAACAAGCTGGTGGATTTCTGGCTGTTACTTGGCAGAAGTTGTGGTAAAAACAGAGTGACCTTCCTTGTCCTGGCATTATGAACAGGGTCTACAACAGGAACAAAATGTTTGTTTACATTTGCCACTTTGTATCCCCTTAATGCACAAAAGCAAAAAATAAAAAATGAAGTTTTTTTAAACTTAAAAATACATCTACAGAGAAGTTTTTAAATGCAGCAGACATATTTATTGTCATCTTTAGATATCTTTTTAGACCACTGAAAAATTATCATAAATGTGTTATATAACATTCCAACTCAGTTGAAAAATAACAGGATGCACATGCAAATACACTATCTACTGCATCACTTGTAACCTTGGTCTAGCTACTGCATTCTACCATAACAACAGGAGATGGCCCTTCATATCTTATCTGAACCCTTGGCTAAATCAATACCATGAAAATAAATTTCCTAATGCTGAAGTTATGTAAAAATTAGGTTTCATCAAAAGAAGTTGATGGTAAATGGAGTCTATTAATATTCACAGCATAAAATAAACCCTAGGTAAACATCATCTTAGTTTCAAATAAGCTGTTTCTTAGCAAAGCATCAACTTTTTTCTTAAAGTATTGACATAAACCCATAAAAGCAATCAAGTTATTGTTTGAAGTGCTTCAGAACACTGCCACAAAGCAACCGCTTCACAAACAATCAGATTATTGAGAAAAACCTAATGGCAAACTCTCTGGAAATTCATTTTCCACACAATGAACTGGGATGGGCCATAAGACTGAATGCCAGGGTGAAATGCCATCTTTACAAATCTGTTATTAATCTGCTCTAACCTCTTCTTCTAGAAAAAATAAGATTAAATGTAGAAAAGCTGTGACAATTTGTAATTCTTGATTCTAATATTATAAGAATTAAATATGGAAGACTTGTAAAGCACACCTTTTGGTTATCAAACACAAATCCCTTACTGTGTTGAAGAAAACCCTATTCGCAATATCATACTGAAACCAAACTATTGCATTTGTCCATGAATCAAATTTAAATACCTGTGATCTTTGATAATTTGAATAATATATTAAATAAACTAACCACATAAAATATATATAAATGAAAGAAAAATCATTTGACCCTTTTTCTAAAAGCCAGTTTTCATAAATAAGTTAAAATGGCAGATCAAAGTAGTTGTTAACATTACTAGCACTTCTTTCTCTCAAATTGCCTACCAAATGTACAACAGCACTAGATCACAGATGCAAAATAAATTTGAAGCATTTATAGCACTAAAATGAATAAAATTAAAATGCAAAAAAATATCAATATTTTATTTTTAAACAAATATTTTAAGTTATAATTTTATGCTATGCAATCTTAACATTTTTTTATTTAAATTTCTTTAACTATGCATTTCTCTTGGTATCATCTCATCTTTCCTCTAAATATTGAATATAATTTGTACATATGTTTCAATTACATCTCTATACAAGTACAGTACAGAATAAAAATCCTGTAAAATTGTCATGATTTTTTACTTTTGCTATTTACTTTCAGAAAGATTCATTGTTTACCATTCCAACCTTCGAGTTCCAGGCAAAAAAAAAAAAAAAAAAAAAAAAAAACAAAAACAAAAGGCTGTCAACTTTGGTAAAATAATATGACTTTTCTTCTTCAGTTATTAACTTCTCTACAACTGGAAAATGTCAAATAAGTGACGCCTGGCACCTAGATCATCACATCACTATCATAAAATACGAGTTGAACAATTATAACAGTTACAGATTTATCTGGTGCAGGATATTAAAATTGCTAAGTACAAAAATCAACCAAACAGTTTCACAAAACATGCATGGCAATATGGCTTCTCATTCTGTTCCTTAAAAGTCCCTTTGTTCAGCTGTTTCAGACAAAATGCACATACAAAGTGTTCAGGGTGAAATTTCTTGTACATGGCAGTGATGCATCTGCCTGTGATTGGTTTCTGGCAGCCAGCACAGAGTGAGCCGCGTTTGGCGTGGTAATGTGTCTCGCAGTAAGGCATCCCCTCATGGTCAAAGAAGCTGCCACCACCAAATGATGCATGGCAATCCTAGAGTTAAAATGAATGGTGCAAATAAAGATTTATGAATGAAACTTAACGAAACTTAACATCCTAACAGCTTAATATCCACTTTCTTTAAAAAAATATCATTTCTTATTAATTATCGATAGCCTTCACATTAATTGCCACATACATTGAATTAAAATTTATTTTAAAACTGACAGCCTAACTAAAAATAAGCATTTTATCAAGATAAATAAATCAACTTGTTCTCAAGCCATTTTTCTTACCCTGCACACAAAACACTCTGGGTGCCACTGTCTGTTCAGTGCTGAGATGTAGTTGTCCATGATGGGACGGTTACATCCACCACATTTGGGAGCAAACATTTCGAAGTAGTCTTCTCTGAAATTCCAGTAATATAGACATAAATGGATGGTTACAGACGCTGGATTAATTTCATATCTTGTTTCTTCTATGAATGTTCATACTTAATACATTTCATAGGGTCCAATTTTGTTCTTATACCTGTTCTATCTCTCCAATATTCTTGACAGAAATTAAAACTACTGGCACATCCTTCCTATTTTAGAACAACCTACAATAAACCTACCTGCAGAAAGCTTTTCCATCTTTTTCATGGAAGCCATCTTCATCAAATGGTCGACCACACTGAGCACAAAAGAAGTGTTCGGGATGCCATGTCCTATCCAAGGCTGTCACACATTTCTGCAAATAGAGAAGATTGTCTTATAATGACCTACACAAACAGATAAATTTTTCAGGGGAAAAAAAAATTTTTTCTTAGCAAAAATGTTTTCTCCTTTTCTTTTCAATTTTGAAATCAGGATTTCAATAATTAAATGTGACTTTTGCAATCTTTTTTATTCTTTGAATACAAAAGCTAGCTTTTCCTAAAAAAAGATTCCTGGAAACACTGAATTATGAATGCACCTATCAAATTACATGTTTGCGTCCATTAATGTGGGGGAAAATTTGCTCATTTGCTTGGAGTTTGCTAAAGGCAGAAGGTGCAGGGGTGAGGAAGAATAGAGAAAGAGATACTTTTGCCTCCTATAACTTATGCCCCCATTATTTAACCTGAACTATTAGCTTAACAATCACTTACATCTAGAATGGGACCATTGCAGTATGCACAACGTGGTGAAAACAACTGATGATAGTCTTGTTCGCAGAAAGGTTGTCCATCTCTCTCAAAGAAGTTCTGTGTTCCCAGCTCCTGATGGCAGTGGGCACACATGAAGTGTTCTGGATGCCAGATCTGACCCAAAGCTGTGATCACCTGGTACCAAGACGAGCAATAATGAACTCAAATACAGGAAAAGTATTTACTTTTCTAGAGACTGGAGCACTGGTTCATGAAAGCATACAGATAGTAATTTACAAATTTAACTGGCACACTGGAATATAATATTTTGCCGTGGATCCTCTAAAATATAATAACTATGTTTTAAGAAATAAGCTAATAATTGATAGTTCCACACTAATTAAAAATAATATAAAATAAAGAAAACGGACAAACCTACCTGCCCAACAATTGGTTTATTGCAGGCAGCACAAGACCCCTTGGTGGAAGTGCTGACTCCCTGGCGATTCATATCACTCTGTAGATTACCCAACATGGCGTCTAACTGACCCCCTGGGCGGGACTGCTGTGGAAGCTGCTGTGTTATGGTGGGTTGAGCAGCGGAGACAGATTGCTTGGAAGGTTTGTTCGGTTTTGCATATGGCGGCTCTTGAATTGTTTGCTGTGTTGGTACAGGTGGAGGTCCTCTTGGTGTTGTATTCATCTGAAAAATTCATTTATATTGCGTATCTCAATATTATAAACAGAAAACTACTGGAGGAACACATAGCATGATTAATAACCTTTCCCTAATATTCACATATTCAAAACATGTTTAAATCCCAGCTAGCTAGTTGCATGATCTTCAAAACTGCATGATCATATTTAAATCTACAAACATCTATCAACAACAACCAAGAAACCCAATTTTAAGAATCCATACTCCCTAAATTGACTGTGAAACCATGTACCTATCCCCAAAAAATCAGTCTCAGATTCATTTGATTACAGATGAAACTTCATGAAAATTATTTCTGACTTATATTTACATATTATGTTCTCATCTGCTCTGGTTTATGTGTCTTCTGTCTGTCTAGTTACACTGCTTCCCAGTCTACTACTTGTACACATCTCAGAACTGCATATATACTTTTGACATATGGCCAGGTACTCCTCCACACATTTTTTTTCTAAGAGGCCCACATTGGGTTTTGTTTTCATAGAATCAGAACAAATTGGTCTATAATCAAAATACTACATGGAATGTTTGAGTGAAACATAAACAGGAATCTTATTGTTTGTTGTTTCAGGAGGATTTGAAAATGTCAGGATGAGTTAAATGTGGTTGCTTCTTTGTAATATTCACATACTGCTAACTTGCAGCACATTGAATTATTCATTTACAACATATATATCTAACTTTAATGTAAATAAATTTTAATATTGTAGATGCATATTGGGCATATTATGAAATGTCAGGTAAATAGTCAGCTAAACAAATCCTCAATGACATGTAACTTGCTTCCCACCCAACAGAATTATTTTCATCTTCTGTATCGCTTCCTCCAATATCCTCTTTGCTTTAAGCTTCACAGTTAATCAGTAGCAGTATGCTCCCTGCCATCCATTGCCCTTTTGTAATAGGAACACATCAATTACCGCAGTCTGTAACACCTGGCTCTATATTACCTGTACCTACATGTTCTTCTATGTATTCTCAAGTACTGAATGTATTAACACAAATTACACTGGTATGTATTTATATGAAAATATGGCCATTATTCAAGATGCTCTGTGTTCTGCATTCTATTTTGTGCTTCATCTTTTGTTTTAACAGTGCTCATATTCACCTCTGAAGGATTGTGTTCCTCTCAGAAGTTTTCATCCCCTTTAAGTCTGTAAGCCATATATTCATCAATAATAGCAAACCATGCAATGCTATCCCAGTCAAGCATTTTCAGAGTGTAAGAGTATGTTGTGATATTTCTGTTCAAGAAGTCCCTCTGTGTGCACGTGCATGAGACAGAGAGAGAGAGAAAGAGAGAGAATTTTCTTTATAATGAAATTACATTCTGATGATGCATATAAGCAGAGATTCAAATCTAACTTAAATTCAAAATTGACAATTTACCTTGAAAGTGGACAGTGATTCCATCAACTCGTCTAATTCTCGCGTTGCTGAAGAAGCTGCTGGTCCGCCGTCAGTCAGAGTCTCCCCGTTGTTAGTGGGTATTGATCTGGCTGGGTTGTTCACAGTGGTATACGTGCCTTGTTGGGTGTAGGCTTGTTGGTGGGATTGCTGTGGTGCTGGGGGTCTGTAATAAATAGACACACATACCTAGAATAAATCTAAACCCAACTTTAGTTTTGTAAAAACATATTTTCATTAATTTTACTTACAACTGTGGAAAAAAATCTGTTTGGATAATATGCATCTTGCACTTTCTGATTATATGCATCCTGACTTGGCATTCAGTATGTACTCTACATAAACATCAACTTTTAAACTTTATAAGGTTAAATACAGGTCCAATGAAGATGATCTACATCAATCTAACACACAGACTGACATATACCATTGGTTTATAGTGTGTTTCATCATAAGATAAACACACACAAATGTTCATTTTATAACCAAGGGTAAAACTCCTCATTGTGAGCAGCCTTAAACAAATATGACAGAAGCAGCTCCAAAGTTTCCTAAAAGCAATCTTTCTAAATAGTTTTTTTTTCTCAGAATTAATGAATGCTACAACTGAGGCTCTTATCCTGCAAACCACATACCTGGATTTCCACATAAACTTGCAACTCAAAAAAATCCCTCAAATTTACAAGTCCTTGATGCTTAAGGAGATGAAAACTCTAAAAAGGACTTATGTATTGGTACCACTTCTATACACTAGGTTTGTCTGCAGCAGAGCATGCTATCAAAAAGAAAGTCAGCTTCCAGACTGTAGGGCAATTTTTAACATCCTTTGTTTTTAATATCATCAGAAGATAACCATACATTTGTGGAATGGCTCTTTTATCACCAGACACTGCATGAAAGCAAAACAGTTTCAACAACTACTGTAAAATGTACTAAACATACCAAATCTTTAATCTTCAACTTACTGAAGTGACAGATAAACCATGACTACTTATATATCAAAAAGGTAGCTAATACTCAAATACATCTTTTCCAAGTCAAAATTACTTGCCAAGACATATTAACTTTCAAGTTTTGTTTCTCCAAGAGACCACAAATATACAAGCGAGCACTCACTGCAGCAGCAAGGCATTCTGTGCTGATAACATTTTATCCAAAATGCTTCTGAACCATACATCAAGGAAAGACTAAAAGAAAACACCCTAGCAAGTAGGGGTCTTGAATTTTGAAAAATAATAATACACTAACCAAACTTGTCAAAAATTTAATTTTCATATTTAAATGAAAAATATATGAGAAGGCCTTCTACAAAATACTCAAATATGGAACTGTAAGTATTGGGGCTTTATTTTATCCAATCAAAATGCATTGACACAAATAGAAAGGCTTTTAAACAAGGCAGCAAAGCTGTCAAATGTACAGACAAAAAACAGAAAATAAAGATGCAAAATNTTAAAAAATAATATGTCAGGATAAGGCTGCCTAGGTTATACATACCCCATCATTACATAAAATCCTGATTCTACTAGAAATAAGTCAACTTCTTCACTGCTATATCAACAGTAAAATGTTTGTTTCCCATCTGATTTTATTCAATAATAAAACGTTTGGCCCAAAAAATTTTTAAGAGAAATAACATCCGTACAAAATGAAATCTGAGAAATGGCCATCTATCATATTAAATATTGATTCTCTTTTAGAAAGACTATGACTGCTCTTTCTTAACACCTAAAACCAGTGGCATAAAATTTCAGATATTATGTCTGCAACAATTACCCAAAAGACTGGATTTAATTTGTTTAACACATTTGGATATCACATTCAGACGAATGACTCACTCCTACTTTTAAACAGGAAAACAAAGAAAGCCTGTGTACGTCTGATCAGGCCATCACCAGTTAACACACCAATTTTTCTGCCGTTACAAATTTGCCCACACATTAAACACCCTTAGACAATGCCCAAGTTGTGTTTTCACAACCACATATCACCTTATGTTTACTTGACAAAAGTAAATTGGATATATAAATTGTTTCAAGTGTAGCTGTTGGGTTTCTCTCATTGTGTATTCATAGCACAACCACAGCTACAGTAGTCTCATTACTACCTCAGTATTGTTAGATTCTGTACTTGGTAGGTATCTATGACTACATGGATACAGCAACATTTCACTAACTATTAAGCATAATGTCCCAACAATAAATTGACTACTGAAATCAAATTATTCATTTATTTTATTTCAAAACAATAACAGATTTAAGCCACCATGTATACTACAGGTAGAGCCCAGCAGCAGAGCTTGGTTTCTATGACAAAATGGTACCTTTGGGGTTTTATTGAGAACCTCTAGAGTTGTGGTCAGACAAGGGCTATTCAAAGCGCAAGACCACCAGATTTAATGGCCAAGGCCCCATATCTCGAAAGCATCGAGCATTACGACCGTGCGCAAGTGTCTTGATTCCATAACTCGCCCATACTCGTCCCATATGATACATTGTAGCCTCTATTTGATATAGCGATTCACAATACTCGATGCTTTCAAGATACGGGGCCCAGGAATTTTAAGGTCTGAGGCACAAGTTCTTTTTCAAATATCACCCTCTATACCTTAGCTTCTTGGATATTGAACTTTTTACTTTTGCTAGATATATCTGCTCTGATGACATGAGAAAAGGGAGCCCATGACCTTGCCTTCATAAGCTCAAGTGTTCCCACACAGGTTCATTCATCCCTTTTAAATATGCAGGTAAATCAAACTGCCATAACCACATCTGTCAACTACAGATGATTTCAAGACACTGTCCCCTTGGGCACTTTATACCTACCCCCTGGACACTGTGTTCTGCAGATCATCCAGCAGACTGTCCACTGTGTTCCTGCCTCCATATCCCTCCTGCTGCTGCTGCTGGTGTTGGTAGGCCACACTGGGAGGCTGCTGGTGGGTGGGAGAGCCCATGGCTGGAGGGTGGTGCAGCCCTCCCATACCACCCTGCATTTCTGAGGAAAGGTAGGAAAATACAGATATAATGTTCAAATAAGTATAGTGCTAAATCATATAAAAGTTCAACCAAATATGCACTTTTTTAATGAGGAAGGCTACACCATCAGGAAATAAATTTAAAAAATGAGGATAATGAAAAATAGATTTTATGAAGGTAACAGAAAAATAGAATTTACGAAGGTATCAGAAAAATATATTTTAAAAGGTATTTTGAGCATTCCTGGAGATGTCTTACTAAACACTCATCAGATCCTAGGGTGAAATCAAACACTGTAAGATTTATAGTAATTTTTAGTTTCAGATTATATCACTTCAGGACAATGGTGCAAGGAATGTTTATCATGTCTACAATTGACAATATTGGTCATACAGTCACTGCAGGTGAAAATAAGGTAAAAATTGTGAAAGAAAACTACTTCCTAGTAACAAATAAATCAACATCATCTGTGATTATACCCACAGGGAGGGTCTCACAGAGGCAAAGGACCAACTTTGTCCCAGACCTTTAAAAAATGCCCACATGTGCCCCTGGCAATTGTACTTATATCTGATGATATCATTCTTGCAATACAACCTTAGCTTCCCGTGGGAATTGGTTGTAAGAGTAATAGGGTGTGCCAGGGTTGGTGCTTCACACACATCTAACGCCAGTGCACAAGGCTGACAATTAAAGCCTACAAAAACACAATGTATTGTACCAGCTGCATGCTGGCATTGCTTTTTCCACTGAAGTATAAAAAGTTTGGTTTGATTTGATCACAGGAACCTTGTAAATAAAACAGCAAAGAGCATTCTGAATTTCGTGATGAAAATGGTGCCCTCACGACCAGCAAACAAGGCCATTAAATCAATGTCCTAAAGACAATGGAGGACTCAAAACAACAACATCACAGGATTAGGTGGATGCAACAGGTTAAAAGTCAGAGCTGTAAAAAAGTGAAACTGTTTGTGTTTCTTTTAATTTTAGTTACATCCTGTAATGTCAGCCACAATGGAGCAGCAGGTGCCAAGGGTGGGGAACGTTACATGACAATCAATCCGAGATGAGATGGTGGAAACCAAGTATTACATGACTCCAGACCTGTGTGAAGTCTTAATGTAATTTCAATGTGTTATGTAAAAAAAAAAAAAAAAAAACATTAAGTTTCACAAAGTAGCAATGAACATTAGGGCATATTTTCTTAACAGTTCCAAAAGAATGATTTGAAAATAACATTTTCCCTTGCAATTTGCAGGGCAGGGTTTCCAGTGGCTTTGGTCTTTATTTATTATTATTTTTTATGGAGAAGGGAAGGAAAAATCATTCTGACTGACATCTAACTCAAGAAGTATGTAGGTCATTTCTAATAGAAAATGAGGTCATTTTCCCTTAAAGTAATTAAAGGATGCATTTAAGGATTGACTTTATAAATGTTAGCTGTAGATTTGTTGATTTCTAAACAACCTACAATCAATTTTTCGCATTTCTCTGAAGAAAAAAAAAGAGATTTTTCATATAAATATCCATTTTAATCTATAAATTTTCTTTCTTTTGATGAAAATTATCTGATTAATAGTTTCAATTCCTAGTAAACTCTGGGGACACCAAAGGTGGTCTTTTCTCACACCATTTAGGTTTAATTTTCTTAACCCTTGTATATTTATTGACTAGAAGATGAAACCCAGCTGTTTATATAAAAATAGTGCATTGTATCTTGTGGTTGTATCTGTGGTTGTAGCTGCAGAAGCCCAGCAAGGTGCTCCCTCTATCCCACTCCCAACACCCACACCACAAACCACAGTAGACTTAACAGCTTACCAAACACTTACTGGGACATACTTCTGGATGACAGAACTTCAGACAAATTTATTTCTTGACTTAAATAATGCTACTGAGTTTGTAACATATATGTGCTATTTGCATTCTTAAACTCCTCTTTTGAGACATAAACTATGTGATTGCTTCGATAATTTCATATGTAATGCATGGCACAACAATCAAATGAAAAGAGAAAGAGTAAAAGAATAATGAATAGGTAACAACCCAGACTGATAGTTGATTAATTGTGATATGGGAGCAGTGTCATGATGAAAGGAGACTAAGCCTCTATATCAATACCATGAATGTGCATGATGGTTTGCATAGATCTGATTTTCAAAATGTTTTTATGTAATAATAATTAAAGAACAAACATAACTAATTAAGCAGGATCCTTTTACAGTGTACACTTTAGTCCTGTTCCCAGGAATGAGGGCATCAAACACAAATTAGTCAGCAATGCTGAAAAAATAACAGATTCCAAACAGACAGAAAAAATAACTAAATAAATAAAAAGCTTTTGAAAAAAGTATCCAATCCTGTTGATATTAAAAGGAGCCTGCCTTACTAAAATATAAAGCCACTGCAAATTATAAGTAAAACAAAAAATGGTTTAGGCTTATGGGACAAACACTATCAAAATACAAGCCAAAAAATGCAAAAAAGCCAATAACATTCATAAAAATAATTCAACCAAGCTGCCTTATCAACATCCACTGCCATCCAACAAAGCTGAAGTAACAAATATGGTTTGGCACTGACTTGATCAACTTTGCCAAAATACATGCAAAAAAAAAAAAACTTTTTTGTAAAAATAATCTGGTCATGCCAATTTTCAAAAAAGAACCCTTATTTTCAAGCAAACAATTCTACAGCATCTGTATATAAAAATTATTTTAGAGAAAATATTAAACAGTAGTATAGGTGCACAGGCAAATGCATGATTTTTATATCCATAAACAAAAAAACGTTTAGGGATCTGCCTTTGTTCACACTTCCTAGTTCTCATAAAGAAACAACGTTAATGCAGTCATGAACTAAGATGGCCACAAAAGCTGTATATAACCCCCCATACCTGCATTCCTCCTGTCCACCTCAGCCATGAACTGTGCAGAGTTCAGGCCCTGGAGTAGGTAGTCCAGCTCTGACAGGTTGTTGCTCAGGCTTGACTTGCCCCCCTGGGCTGGAGGTGGTGGGTGTGGCTTGGGTGGAGGTGGGGGACCCCCAGAGGTCATTGTCTGCCCAGTCTGGGTCACTGTGGTCTGGTGCCGAATCATTTGTGGTTCGTAGAGTGGCTGCAAGAAAACACATTAGAGCCCTTTAAAAACAAGTTAGGTAAATAAGTCAGACTATTGGTATTACAGGAACCATGTGTGAAGGCATTCAAAAGTGTACAACAACTAGCCACTTCGGATACTCAACACTGACTCTGATGGATCGATCCATAAACACATCAGCAAAATCCTCTATTAGGAATTCATGAACCTTTCCTCAGATAATGTCCCTTTTCTGCTAAAATAAAATGTGTAAAAGAACAAGTATCATAAATGTTTTGAATTGAAATGCCTGCCACTTACCCTTTCCTTTAAATTAAACATGTGACTTCCTTACTACGTGCTGCCAGTCAGGTCTATATTACAAAATTAACAAGCATATTGTAATGTTGCCCCATCTCAATCATGTTACCACCCCATACTGTATCTATATCTTATCTATATCATGTAGTCACACACACCTGTACCAACCAAACACAAAACATACTATCACATAAATACTGAATAGCTATCATAGCATTGTGCACATTTAATACAGTATTTTTTAATATACAGTCCCTATCTGTATATATCTTTACCAGTACTGTCTATCTCTTGGATTAATTACAGCATTTTTTCTGTTCACTCACCTTTATGGTACACACAGTAATAAATCTTGATCAATCATGAAATGTCACCAAATCTCAGCAACAAAAATGTTTTATGAAGCACTGTTTTTAAAAGTCACTAGCATGAATAATAAAAAAGCCTTGTTCCGTCAGCCAATGTAGCCCAGGATCCTATGTTTTGCACTATGGCCAGCATCAACTACACTCCCTACAGAACTTGTGGCCACAGTTGCACTGACTCATCTGTATGATACTCCTACCATACTGTCATGATTTACCAGCTATAGAATCTGGAGGCATGTGTTGGCTGTAAAACTCTATTATACATACACAGCACCCAGCCAGAGCTCTATTGGCAAACAAGTTGAAGCCTGCTCTTTTATTATTCGGTAAAATTCTTTTCATGACTTGTTATTTAGATTGTTTTTAGATAACATTCTACTATGTTTGTATGAGATATTTCTTACTGTACATTTTGACATTTTATGACTACAATAACATTGATATCCCACTGCTTATGCATGATATGTCAACCACATTAAAAGAGTCGTTAAAATTAAATCAATGTTTTAAAAAACTGAAGCACTTGTGCTACTGAAATTGGTTGACTTTTCATCAATGAATATGGACAACTGTAATATTTGATCTTCCTTGCAACAGAACCAAAGAAAATTGCATTAGAATGGAAAATGCTATCTTTGCAATTTGATTGATCAGTGACGAAAAAAGACGAGCAAAATATAAAAGAACTGAGTCAAAGTCCCATAAGAGGAATAACTCTGACTTGTAAGGTGATTCAATTTTTTCTGCTTAAAATTTATTGGACAATATTACAAGTCAAAATATATTCAAGGAACAGATTGTCAGTTTTATGGGCAAGATTTCAAATAAGATAATGCAAGCACATTAAAATCATTTCAGTTGTATCTGATGGACATCTTCATAAGGTTCCCCAGGTCATCACTGGTAAACCATGCATTCATACCTACAAAAATGCAGATGGTATTCAACACAGGAAGATGAACGATGACATGGCATTGTGGTTTTCCAACTAAAACTCCCCATGGTCTGTTCCTATCTAACCACAACACACAAGTAAAACTGGCATCTGAAAAAAACTGTATCCTGAAAGTCACAGGATGTTTGTTACAAAACTATAAATATATATGTAAATATCAGAGAGAATATGCACTGATATAGTTCACGGTCATACATTTTTGGGAAAAAGATGGGCAGAGACAACTTTCCTCACGTAACCTGACTTTCACCATAGCTTTGAATGCTATGTGACATATGCCTAGCTTGCTTCCTCAGATACATGTGGTATACTGAAGTACAAGTTTCAGTTCAGTTTTCAAAGTTACACTAAAATCAAAATAGCCTTTTACTCATACTGGATACCTGAAATCCCCTTTTAAGGTGTAAAGCATGTAATCCTAGCCCTGATAACTTAGGAAAAGACACTGGAACCTACATTACCATGTAATTTATCAATGCAGAGTGATCTGGAAGCCAGTTAGCCAATGCAAACTTTTAAACTGAAGTGACCCGAAATCCCATTTTAAAAGGTTTAAAAAATCTAATAGATTTGTGTTCTACGGTAAATTTGACCCAGACAATATCTAATTTCATGTAGGTTTTCCCAAGCATTTCTATAAATACTACTAAAATACCCTAGTGTAATAATTTTTTGCTTTAAAATATCAAATGTAAATAGAACTAGACTAAAATCTAAATCTTGCAATATCTAAAGGTAATGCCATAAAATGACACCAAATTATAAAATAAATTCATGCAGCCCATATATGGAATTAAAAAAGCAGACAAAACACGTGATGGAATGTGTTCCATTAACCAAATATAAATGAACATAGCTGTGGCTTACAGGCATAGTTTTGATGTCTCATTCCACCCACAACCAAAACAGTTAAATAAAAAATTCCAAAAATATGCTATCATCTGTTGGATAGAGTCTGATCTGACTAACCAAGTACAGAATATCATAAAATAGCTCTTATTTTTGTAAAAAGCTTGCAAAAGAGATGGAAATGTGATATAATAGTCTTTAAAAATTCACTTACAGAAATAGCAGCCATCATCTGAAAGGTGAAGCAATTCAGAAGAATGTTTGATTGAAACCATTAGATATAACTCACTGACAGACTGATGGTTAAATCCATTCAACCATTCAATCAATACATTACCTGTCACTCAAAATAATTTACACATACTGCAGGAGAAAAGAAAGCAGGAGAGTCATGCACCCATACTCTCTTAGGTCAGTGCTTGCCTTCTTTTTAAAAGTTGTCCAAATTCAAAAGTTTGTGGTGTTTGTCCCTATCTTACATAACTATTCCCCCACACCCTTTCAGAATCATATCGGATTCTGATCCATGACCAAGTCATGACTGGAGTCACAGTCTAGGACTTTTATCTGCTACATATTTATCCACCATGAAGACTGGTGTATGTTCTCAAACTAGTACGCAAACAAATTTATTTTAGAAAAGAAATAATTTCAGATGACAAAAATAATGTGTGTTTAAATTTTTCTGATATATTTGGCATTTATGCTCAGATGGAGTATGTGTCTCTAGGATTTTTCCATTGAATTACTTTGTACTGCATATTTCACAATTTGGGATAAAATGTTATTGATAATAATCAAAACTTACCACATAGGCTAGGTATAACTAAGACTGTCTGATAATGTTTCTACTAGTGTATAAAATCTTTGCAGCTACTGCAGGTCTATACAACTACTCCACGTGGAAGTGAAATTTTCATTTAATCTGCTAAACTAAACCCATGCAGACAACATTCTTTGCATCTCTCAGAAGCTAATAACATTAGAGCCTGGCATTTACCTTCTTATTTTCCAATGGGTTGTAACTCGGCAAAGTCCAGGTGAAGCTTGTTCCTCAGAGGAGGAGTAAATAAAGGCAACAGTCTGAACATTTTCAAAGAAATTAACTTCCTTGTAATTTGAAAAGGAGATTAAATTGTCTGCTGCGCAAGAGAAAAAAACATATTATCTACAACCTGCAGTAAGAAATGAGTATGTCATTTTTTTCTTCAGACAATGAAACTGATAGGTCTGTAATGTAATAAATCCACTTAACCTTGCAGATTCATGTATGTAAAAAATCCTAACAAGGAAGCATAGCTATCATCTTAAAATGCCAACAAAATCATCACCATAACCATTATCATCATCATTATAACCATTATAGGCATTATGTTAAAATTCCATTTCAGTTCCCTGTATCTGTTATGTCTTTTCACTTACTTTTCTTCACTGTTGTCTGAAATTGCCTCTTAGCCAGCACCAACAGCCACATACCATCACAGACAGGAAGTAATGCATATTTATCATGTAAGATTATGTTCACAACTGGACTAAGTTAAACCTGAACTGGTTTGAGGCCCCATTCAGAACAGGGACTAACTAGTCTGAGGGCCAAATATGGCCGACCCACTTGAGTACTTCCCCATGGGATATCTATTTAGTGTACTAGTATGTTAGCAGATTAGATGGCAAGCTTTGTAGTAGGTTGCCATAATTGAACCTTGGACTAGTTAGTCCCCTATGCTGGGTCTTCTGTCCCATTTAGATCGAGAAGAGCCAAGTGCTAGCTAGTCCATGACCCAAATATGGCGGACCTGCATGAAAGGAAGACCACTTAATCCTGTAATGGTCTCTCTGCCTCTCACGGCTCCCCACGCATCGTCCCTCGACCAGTTGAATTGAGCCGAGATTTAATTACTGTGCCCCTGCAGGGACGCCACATGGGGAGCGGAGAGACAATTACAGGATTAAGTGGTCTTCCTTTCATGTAGGTTCGCCATATTTAGGTCGCGGCCTAGCTAGCACCCGGCTCTTCTTGATCCCAATGGGGCCTTAGACACCATTGGTCTTAGAAGATTGATCCAACTCTGCAGGGACGTTCGCTGAATGCAATCAGCTTAACTGAATGACACACCTTCCCTTGGGATTGAATAGAATTCAGAAAAGCTGATTATACATATGCATAGTAAACAAAAGGAGGCACATCAATCAGTTAAGCCGATTGCCCTCAGCGAGAGTCCCTGCAAAGTTGGATCGATCTACAAAGACCAATGGTAATTATGCGAATGAGGTCTTGCTCACCAGATGCTCTGATTTCACTAGGACCCTGATTGCCCTTTGGAAATTTTAATCCCATTAAAAGCAATCTATTAGTCTCTGATGTCAGATTATTTCCTGTCTCAGTAGGTCCTACCAATATACGATTATAATAATATTATTACCTGTGTATCCTGATGAAGACTTTCAAGCACGTCTTGTGATGGGGGAGGAGGAAGTGGTGGTGGGTTATCGTCCAACGAATCCTGTGATCCTCCAAAGTTGTTATGTACTGGTTGAGCTGCCCCTACTGCAGCATGTTGATGGTACTGTTGCTGTTGTTGGTGGTGATGTGGTTGCTGATGATGTAATTGTTGTTGTTGCTGTTGGTGATGTGCCAGCTGTTGTTGTTGATGATGTGGCTGCTGCTGATGCTGATGTTGATATCCAGATAGGTGCTGTGATGTAGTAGACTGTAAGTCTGCTAGAAGAGCATCTGAAATGACATAAACAGTCAACTCCGCTTATTATTATTGCATAAAGATCAAATCATTGTCATTGGCATGCACAACTCGATATATGGCCATAACATTGTGAATAAATGTTCTTTAATCAGCACATTCAAAATGCTTTACATGCGCAAGTACAGATAATGTTTTTTTAAGCTTGATGATATGGCCAGATAACTGTAAATTAATATCTAGATCGTCTGAAAATCTCTCTCAAGCACCAATACCCAACCACTTATTTCCATCAAGCAGACTTCAGTACAATCCCCATAGAAATTGAAAAACAAACCCTTCAAATTAAACACATTTTCCATCTTAAGCCAATAGTAAAAAAATCTGATGAAAATCATTTTTAAAGTACACAAAAATTTAAACCACCATTGTCACATTGCCTGGCTCTCTTACCCTGTGTCCTTCCTTCTCCAGCCAACTCTGAACCTTAACTGTGCTACCTTCAATCTGTTGTTAAACTAATTATCTTGGGACAAAACAGTATGACACTATTCTGAAGATAATGTGCCCAAACCACAAATTTACCTTGGAGATTAAAAGAAAATACCCCAGCGCAATGTATTCAATGTATTAGTGGCCTACCTGGTGACTCATGTCAAAGCTGTCTACAGGATGAGTGCAGGCAAAATACATGTAGCCAGATATATTATGTATGAGTCAATTTTTGTCATGATAAATAATTCTTAACACCATTTCGTAGAGGGAATCTTTTTATCATGATATATATCTATATCTATACTTGCACAAGTATGTTAAGGGTGGGTACTTACAAAAATATGAAAAATATGTTTTGAAAGAAACTCGTTTCCTATACTTTCAAGAAATAAACTTCGGAACATGCCTGCACTTTCAAATGTTGATGTAGATTGGCATTAATCAATGTTACCATGTTTGTTCCTTTTCTCAATTGCAAAACTGGCTAACTGATATGGTTTGTGCTCGTCTCTGCCCAGGACATCCTGGATATATATAATCCTTCCTACAATCAGTGTGGTTTATATTACCTGTTATCCTGTAAGCCAAGTATGATGTTCAAAGAAGCCAGTTCATATCGTTCTTGCTTCAGCTGCTTTTCTCCTTGAATGCATAGCATCATTTTAAAACTTGGATTTAAGGTTTCAATTCTGTTTACTTGAAAGAACTTAATCTCAACCCATTTGCATATAAATAACTGTTTTTCTCCACTAAAATACCTAACAAGTCTTTCATTGAAAGGTATTAAAGCCAATAGTCCTTAATGACTTTGGTTTTAAAAGGAAACAAACAACAAGATAAAAATGCCAACAACTGATAATTTTGCCTTATGAGAACCATTTGTAAACTAGAACCACATCCACCTAACTCCCTCATTGACATATGAATGCAAAATACATGATAAACTATTCAGAGGTAGAATGTCAGCACGTTTTTGTATGTTAAATAAAACCATCTAAACCACATGACCAAAATGTATACAATATAATGTATTTATACACATTCCTGAAAACACCTTACATGGAACATGGAACTATAGATCACCTGCATGGCATTCCAAATTACATACACACATACAACAGAAAATACCCTAAAGTTTCATAGTTCAAGAGCTAAATGTTTCTTATCCTGAACCTTTTGTTTTCATAACTTTCTATTCATCATGATTTATGTTTAGACCATCACATTTTTCTTTCAATTTCAGGGGCAATCTTTTACTTTTTATTTTACTCAGACGATACCCCAAAAAGACTTCACACATTCAATCTTAACTTCCAGCTCCAGCAGAAGTCTTAATTTCATAATGGCATTTTTTTTCCTCTCATTTTTCCACTAAGTAAGTAAAGTTACTTTTAATTGTACCTAATATGTCCTTAACATTTCAGCCTAACTTAAAAATCTACTCCAGTTTTCATCAGGATATAATCATTGCTAATTAATGTCTATAACAGCACATATACCATTCTGGTCCCAAACCACAAAGCAGCTGGTGTAAGAAAAAAATCTAGCAGGTAAAAGATAGTGTTCACATACCTGCACTACTCACCGTCCACTGACAGGAGCATCCAGGTGGAGGTATGTGTGTTAAAACAGCTTAGTATGCAGAACAGATCACCCTGGTCATGTGGCTGGCATTATATAGAAATGTGCTTGAACACTCAATGTAAACACACAGGGAAACCCTAGCCATTTGGCCCAGGTAATGAATGTATTTGTACCCTCTATCAAAATCCCACGCAGTGCTAGGACAGAATAATAGGTTGCACTTTTTAAATGTAGAGTAGCCAACCATAGCAAGTAAAAGAAAAAATCTAGGAAATTTGAGTTCTCATGGACTCATTCTGCTTTTACTTTACAGAGATTTCAACAGATCAAATTAGATCTATTGATGAGATGGCCATGACTAGGTTTATATTTGGCCTTGTGCTAGGGTGTAGACCACAGGTAACAAGGTGCAGTCAACTTTAGGCTATGTCAATCTATAGGTGATGGGCTGTTAAATATGGTACTAGAGGTTATGTAAACTAGGGAAGGTCTCCTGTTTCTTCAGTATTGATAAAACCATGCCCCTCTGTTTGTTGCAGATCAAAACGAGACAAAATAATTGAATTTCTAATAATAAAAATAAAACAGTATGCCTTTAACAACCAACCCAACCCACCTTCCAAACACTATTTCAGCTAAAATTAATTATCAAAAATAAAAATATTTCAATATTCCAGAATTTCCTGATGATACATGAAAGAGCATGATGTCTCCATATAAATATCACA